AGTTATGAGGGGTAATAGGCCTCGCAACTTCACTGAAAGACCTGAAGTAAGCAGGCTTCAGGTGAATACCCCGAAGATCCCGAGCTCAATAACCAGACCATTGGATGCAACCGCAAGAGGTTTTTAGTTTTTTGCACAGGCATCTGAGGGCAATTCAGCAGCTCGGCTGACTGAACGCGTCCAGGCCCTAGGACAGCTTTCTTTTTATATACATAATTTTGGCAGTCAAAGTAATAGGGGTATTGTAAGGAATGGAGCTACTGCAGGTGCAGATCTGGGCAAGCAATAGGGCATTGTCAGAAGCGCAGGCTTAACTCATCCTCCCTGGAGAAACCACAAGGTCAGATGTACACTTATCTCTACAGCCTGCTGGTTTCCTTCGTTAGCACTCTGGACCTGATATTCTTTCTAATCAGACCTGATTCCCTGCCTAGGGGAAAAGATTTGGGGAATTTTCCACTGAGGCAACCTTCTCAAAAAACAGGTGGTGTATTGAGTTTTTTCATCACTTCCTGCATGATCACACCCCTGTTTTTAACACAAAGTGGCAAGATTAGAATCTCACAGGATGGGTATGTAATTTGCATAAGGCCACAGATCTAAGGGGCTTTGCCAATTTCATCTTGCTCCACTGTTCCTGAGAGAACACTGAAGGATGGTGGGATGTTGTATGTCCTGTGGGATTTTGCTATCAATTTCTGAAAGAACATGAGATATCACCAGAGAACACACATTGGTTTTTCCATCTAAGAAGGAATCCATCAACTCAGACCTTCAGAGTTTGTCCCTCATTTCAGACATGTGTTCCCTGCTCAGAAAGGAGTGACGGTGTGTTTGTCTTCACCTTCAGCAATCCTGTCCTTTCTGCATGCTACATACAAGGAGTAAGACCTGCACACCTGTGTAGTACACTGATCCATAGTAAGTACTGAAGATTCTGACTCAACTTGCATTGCTAACTTCTCTGGGTTCACCAGGTTCTGTTGAGAGGACAAACACAGAACCCTACTAATTTCCAGTTCTCAGTGAGTCTTCTAGATCACCCAACTTTCACCCAAACTCTCCCTTCAAATCAATATTGTGAATGAACCTCAGAGTCTCCGGGTTCAGTGAACACAGGCTTAAAGATCTTCTACTGCACTGGCTGTCCCAGGGTCTCCCCTTACCAGAACTGAAATGCTCAGAAGACTTTAGACTATGGGGTAGCTTGATCCTTGTGTGTAGACTACACAAGAGTGGTAAGAAAAGCCGAGGCCTAGGGCTATATATCCTTGCTATCCTGGTGGCTGTCCCAGTAACCAAGACCTGAAAACCAAGTGAAACTGACTTGAGCCTGATCTGCCATTTACAGGCAGATAAGGACAATCAACAAGGACAACAAAAAGGAGCCTCAACAAAGACCTCTTTTTTTTTTTTACATGATCAGGGTCAGTCATGGAGCCCATGTTCTCAGAGTTAAATGATGGCTGTAGGAGACAAAAACAGAATGAGGGTGTGTAAGGGCCAGGACATTCTGAAGATGTAAGGACTTTGGCTGACTATAGAAATGTGCAAAGTTTTCACTACTGCTACTTAGAGCAGACAGGAACATGTCAGAGTCACATGAACGGACAAACTGCCAGTGATGACTTAAGTCCCATGACCACCAGAAATGGGATTGTTAATATGCTGGGAGATGTAGAACATCACAATGTCAGCTGTCTGCTGTCCTATGAATGTCACACTCTAAATGTCAACATAAAAGATTGACCCTGTTAGTAGTTATGGTGATATCAGCCAGGAAAATGTGAAAGTACTATAGACATTGAGGGCTGAAATGATAGTCTGTTAAAAACCCATATACATTCTGCTGGAAGCAGTTAATATACCTGTGTCCATTACTCTGAGAAGGTCAAAGTTTCTCCTGTCTATCAGAGTAAGTTTTTCTGTTACATTTATTACTATTTTTGAAGGGGCAACTGCTCATGAAAGTGAGTTGATGTTGAATGTCATCACTGTCACATAGGTTTGTATATTCCATCCCCACTAGGCTCTTCTGCTGAGAACACTGTAAAATAAACCAGAAAACGTTAGATGACTGGAGGAACAGGGGATGAAAATGCCATGTAACCACTCCTGATGTCCATCCCACAATTTTCCCTGTTGTGTTGCATTAGGCCTTTGTACATCCGATGTTAAAGAACCTGCCTAATCATTAGTAAGTCGTTTAAAACTATTTGTTCACAGCCATCGGAAGTATTAGTATAGTTGATCAAAATAGAAAGTAAGAGCAAGAAACAACAACAATTTACCGTGGGCTATGCTGTACTGTGATTGGTCTGTTGCATGAGATATTACAAAGACTAATTGTGAGGTCAGTTAGATACCAGTCCATGTAAAGTGCTACCTGGGGTGTGTTTTGTCCTTGTACTACAATGGATTTGTTAGGTGAGTGAGCATTTGGACTCAGTCATTTTTCACAGAGTTGGGCTTTTCAAGCGGTCTGTGTCTTGAAAAAGTGAGAACTACAGCATCGCCCTAGGCATGGCAGCAGAGGGAAGCTGAGAAAACGTGGTGTAGGTAGCATTTCTCTCCTCTCAGATACAAAACACACTTGAGGAGGAACAATTAGAATCTATGAGGGTAAACATTTTCTCACACATATATTATGATAGCAATAAGATATTATATATATATACATATATATGTGTGTGTGTGTGTATGAATGACATTCTTCCTATACTTCTGAGTGACATATTCTATGTTGCATTTCTAGCCACGAGCATGAATGGTCACACTTGCTAGCAAGGACACAGGCCCAGAGACAATGAGTTGTTTGCTTCTGGCACATAGATGGTGTGTTTTTCAGTAGTTACCAGTAAATCAGGCTTCAGTCATGATGCCCTTAACTAACACCAATACCTGGGTAAGAGACACTTCCCACCATGTCAGGTCATGGAATCTCACAAGAGACAGCAGTAGTGGACCAGGGGCTCCAACCCCAAGTGATGGTCTCTAAGAATGTGAATCTCACAATGCAGATATAATCCCAAGTGAGAAGAAGAACATAATGTGTACTTTTTATATATCTGGCCATGGGAGGGAGCATGTTGTGGCCTTTAGATTGTTACCTGAGAGAAGTGAGCTCATGATAAGACTCACAACTGAATACCCTCCTTCCTCACTGCCTGTCTGATGGATGGTACAGGAACAGGGGAGTCAATACCAGCTATTCATACACACATCTTTACATACACTACTCCAACTTTGTGAGCACTGTAATTCTCATTCTTAATTGGTCTAGTTAATAAATACCTGGAGTCCATTATGGAGGAAAATGCTGAGATATCAGAAGGAGCAAGCAATGGCCATAGCTTACTTCCTCATCAACTCAGCAGACAATAGAATGAGTTCCTTTCTGCCCCTGTTATAGTCTTCCCAACTCCCTCACTTCCTATCTGTCTGACAGACTTCTATGGTTAGTTAGTGGCAAGCTCCATTCTCTGATTTTCAGGTTTCCTTTGTACAAGCAAGATATCACCACACAGTTCTGTTCACCTCCCACTGGAGGACACTGGATACCAGAGATGTTCAGTAGCTTGCTCTTTTGAAGGGAACATGAGAATTTGTAACACTGTTTAAATTCCTTTGATTCAGATATGATAACAATCATGGTAATAGCCCGGGTCACTTGCAGAATTTTAATTAACCTTCCTTTCTTTCTGCACATTTCCAGGTTCTGATTTATACGTTCTGCGACAAAGCTCCTTTCACCATATGTGATTCCTGTGTCATCTAGGTAAGTGTACAATGGGATGGGGTGCAGGAAGCACAGGGCCCAGGTACACATGTGGTGGTGGAATACCTCTTCTCCTGCTTGATACTAGAGCCTTTTTATGGGACAGTAGCAGAGATTCAATTAAAAGTGGCAATCAGAGCTTACTAGGAGACCACACTGAATTCTACCTCAGGAAAGTCATGGGATGAAAATGGAGATTGCCCCTTCCTTGTTAGGTCCTGAATTTCACAAAGATAAACCTGCTATTTTCTGAGAGGCCACAGGTCTAGGGCTGGTGAATAAATATTTCTGCCAGTCTCATCCGTTGTCTTAAATCAGTTTTCTCTTGTTTGTGCCTGGTCACAACCTGAGTCATGGACCTTCAACTCCTGACCTGCAGATGTGCACATTGAGCATTGGTGATATTGAAAGAGGAGTGTGTCTCTCACCTCTCATTTCCTGGAAGATTACTATATCATTCCTGAGGTCCAGAGGAGCTCAGAGGTTACACAGGGCATTATGAGGGCATGCTGTTCAGGACCATTCAGTGGTCAGTCTTGTACCTTCTAAGTGCAGACAACAATCACCAACAATATCCGTGGTAACCTACCGGAGTGTCCACTAGTGAAAGCCTCCCAGTAGGTAGATATTCTTGAATCGCTGCCTCTGGCCAACTTAGACTACAATGATTTCTGACAGTGTTTAAAGTTACCTATACTTCTGTGTCTGCAGGATAACCCAGAAAATATGTCTGAGAGGAAAAACAGTATCTCAGAGGACCCTTGGGAATTGAATGTGCTTTTTTTCTGAATTCTAGACTGGATCTTGTGAAGGGCAGAGTCCATGGAGCCCTGTCCCAGGCAATCACTAACATGAAGAAGGAGAACTTGAGTACACAGTGGAACTATAGTCACTGGTATTATAAACAATGTACAAACAAGTATTGAAGCACTCAATCTGAATTCCTATATAGTCTCTATAAATTGGCATTCAGAACACTTGCCATTTGCCTGAGAGATCTTCAAATTAACAGCTCTTCATTCCACTAGTTGCTATTCTAGATGTGTTCGATTTTGATATTAGTCAATAGACTCATTGAAATATAGTCTGTTGCTCCCAAACCTAATATAACAAGTAGGACCTAACCTAGAAGAGATATCAAGGGCACAAGAGATTCCTCCAGGCCCAGTTCTGGTACCAGTACCTCCCATAAAGCCTCAGAGTTCCAGAAAGGCTACAGTGACATAGAGGCACTGGAAACTAGTAAGAGACCACAAAGTTAAGCAACATACGCAGCCAAATCCTGTCACTGATTTTATTGTAGTCACACATGTATTTCAAAGCAGAGCAAATGAAATGTACATAAATGGCTGTAGACCATTACTTAAGGATGAAGAATAGTGAACCCAATGGAATATTAAAAACAGTCTCCATTTCAAATATCCAAAATCCAAACCCTATAAAGTTCACATAAAAGTAATGGAAGATAGCCACATAATTTATGAAAGATCATAAATAACATGGAGAATATGCCATGTGCCATGAAAATTCAGAAACTGGAACTGGGTTGAGCAGACACTTACCTAGGATATCTAAAGAGAGCCTGGCCCCTGACACACCTCAGCAGACAAAAAATGCCTCTATTTGCACATTGATTGGCTATGTAGAGGTGGAAGTGTAGTGTGTGCTGTGAGCTAAAATGAGGGCTGATACCTCTCTCATTGATGGTATGGAGATAGCTGTCCATCTGGATCTCAATAGCTCTGCATTGGAGGGTAGAGTCAGGTGGGGAAGCATCAGAGCCTGATACCTAGATACTCATGTGTGCTCTGCATGCTCCTCCACTGTTAACACCTTTAACATTGTTGGTTTAAGTACACGAATAACACTGACTCACACTCTCATCACATAGTTCTCTAGGGTCAGGCCTATAAACTCCTGTCCTGACACATATGCCTCCTTCCCTGATTAGGTACAATACAGTACTGGACTTCAGACCCCACTGATAAACACTACTCACATACCATACATCTTCAAATACATTCCTAAATATCGGTCATGCAGTAGTTCCCATCCAGCCACATGCTAATTTCTAGGCATCAATTCTTTCTGAGCAAAGAACGCTCATATGGCTCATAGATTTGTCAGCATTGAACCCTGAGTGACACTCACTTAACCCCACATTAAGTGCTAGTTTTTGGGCTGTGCTGGATAATCTGCCACTCTGCCCAAAATGCACAGCTATTATGGGTTCCACAGGATAGCATCACACCAAGGAAGGACCACATGCACTCAAAGTTATCAGGCTGTCTTCAACATCCCACCACACAAGTGACATTCGCCAGTGTTAACATTATTCCTCATTGGATACCTCATGACATCAAATCACATACACTTTTAGGATGTCAACCCTGCTAGGTATTGAAACAACACTCAGGCCATGACACATCTTATAAAAATAGCTGACGGCATTTTAAATAAACATCCCCCTACAGTAGTCTCAAATTCATCAATGTGTATCATGCCTGGTGACTTCCCTAATGCCTCAAACATGCACTTACCTTCAGGGTCCCCTGGATAACAGAGCAGCCTCTGCCAACCTACTCTAATATTAACAGGCCTGGATTGACACAAATTCATCCCATCATCTAACCTGTATCGAATACTTATTGTACCCTTCTAGATGCCCTATCCTACTCCTCCCCACTGATATATATAGTTACTCATCAGGCCCTTTAGACACCTACCTCTCCTGTGACTACACATCTACTTCTAGGTATCAGGTCATGTTTGACCTCCTAACCCACAAACCACTAGTTGTCAGACCATGCTGTGAACCTCACCTCCTGTCACACTCATGAAATTGTCTGCCCAGTATTGACCCATTGGATATCCTACCTCTGTGCATGTCACACCTTCAGTGCCAGTCACCATTTCCGATGGACTCCTCCTCAAGCACACACAGTGCGGTGTCTCAGGCTCTCCTACTGTTACTGTGCCATGCTGCACATTAGCTTCTACTGCAGTGCCATACACAGTGGTGTCTATCAAATCACATGACCGCCAACCCAACATCCCATATGATGTGCTAAGGTTGAGCCCAGTTTGTCAAACATTCTTACCCTACACTGCTGGACAACAAACACTGCACTATAAAATCACACAAACACACACACACACACACACACACACACACACACTATGAGCCTGGTACTTTAATGAATTATGTCTCATATACTAAGGGGCAAACACCTATGGATTGATAACTCACATTTGATATTAAATTAACATTGTTTTCTCCAATGTGGGAAGGTAAGTAGGCCTTGCCACCCATGATGCTGATTTCCCCCTTAACAAGTCCAGCAACCATGACTTCTCTATGACAAATGATGGCCATAGGGGTCATACTGAAAATGAATTCATAATCATGGTGCAACACTTGATGACAGCCACAGATTCTGTGTGTAGCAGTGGAGAGTGTGATGTGTGAACTGTTATCCAGGACACCTTCAGGTAGGGAGCAGCTCAGTGAGTTTTCAAGGGGAACTGAACTCAACATGGATTCCAAGGCCCTGATTAGTGTGTATCATCACGTGAAGGTAAGATTGAGTACAGTAAATATCTGTTTGTGGGAGAGGGTGAGATTCAGAAGCCTGGTCTTGATGTCCGGAAGAAAGCAGCAAATGAAGTGGCATATCCTATCATCCTCAGCACAGAGGGAAAGTTACCATTGTCCTGCCAGACTGAACAGTAATGACAAAATGAGAGACCATGGTTGTTTGGAAGGACAGGTGGTATCTTCTTTTTGATTTTGGCATACAGCTTCTCTTCTGATCATCTAATCCTGGCCTTTACTCAAACAATGGGGCATATTGAATTTGTTGACCAGATCTTCATCCCTGCAGGATGGCAGTTAGCTTGTGCTGTCACTTACTTTCTAGAACCCTGACTATCTGATGAGTACCATGTGCACAGATCAAGTAGCAGCTTGCTTAGTGGATTACAGAGATTTTCTGTTTGTGGGAATCAATTGTGCTCAGGCCTTGTTTCTGTTGCAGGTCAAAGAAGCCTGGGCTGTAAAATGGTTAAATCCAGGAAATGAGGTATGGAAATTTCCTGAATGCCCATTTAGTATTTTGTGTTTTGTATTTCTTTTGAGAGATAATGCAGTATGGATCCTGGCTAACTTTAGCCTCTCTTTGTAAAACAGGAAGATATCACAATCACAGAGATGCAAACCTCCCTCATGTCCTGAGGCTGTCTGACTCAAGCACTATATTGCATCAATGGTAATATCTTCCAAACATGTGAGGTAGAATGTTACAATTTTTTTGCTTTTTTATCTGCAAAGGGTCAGGGATTGACCTGAAGGCCCATTCATCCAGGATGGACTTCAAACACGGAGGACTCTAAATCTGGCCTTCAGAATAAAGTCTGTGTCCACTATGAACAGACTCCTGGAGGTGAGAAGTTCTGTCATGAATTCTGTGGACACCAAGGCAGTGAACTGAAGCAGGTGTGCCCTAGCTGATAGATCCTTGGATCTAACGCACAGAGTATTAACATGTAGGACTAACCCTGTTTCCCCAGATTCTCCACCTGCAGTCCAGTTACAAGACACATGACTTTAATCTGATCCATCATAATAGTGAAGATTGGCTCCCTGGTCTGATTGATTGAGTTCTATCCTTTCAGGCCATTAGAACTTGTCTTAGAACCAAGGTGGGTCACTGAGACATTAGGTAGTTGTCTTGGGATTTTGAAGTCTGTTCTTTCACTTCAAGGGCACTAACAACGGTAGAGACACTGCAGAAAGACACATACTCTCGATAGAAGTTTCTAGTTGTCCTCATCCAAAGCAAGGAAGATTCCACTTTCCTGTTGATGTTCATGGCTACCCTTGTCTTGGCCTCACATTGCTTCATTTACTTGTCAAAATCTGTTTGGGTTGCACTTTAGGCCATGGATCCCTGTTCATAGCTGCAGGCTAATGGGGAGTCTAGGGCTGCAGGTGTCCTGTTACTAAGCCAACTAGGACTCTGAGTAGCAGAGTAGGCTGTTGTGAGGGTAGAGGAGATCCTTCCCATCCTCAGTACACGGTGGATCATCCCAAAGACAACTGTCCTATTACATGTCCTTTGAGTCCTGTCATTTAATTTCTGGTCCTGATAGACCTTCAGATTTTACATATGAAAGAATGGAGGTGATTGGCTTTTGGGACTTGTTTGTCACATATAATACAGTCATCTTAAGATGCATTGTTTTCTGGAAATTTTCAAATACTGACTCTGCATATGTGCTGTTTGCCCCACATCCACTTCATATATTAATTTTATCTTTGCTTGTACTTGAAACTGTCATCTGTCCTTTGCAATTGGCATAATAACTTGATTCTCTATACGGGTAGGCAAATTTAAAAATCGGACATCAAAATAACCAGTCTCACACTACTCCCATCTTTTATGTCACTAACTGAATTGAGTTGGAGACCATGAGTCACTGGAATATAGAGGTACCAAGAGACAATTTGCAGAGGGATAAGTTAAAGAGGATGGGAGTGACAGAATGGAGTCTCCATGGGGAGAGGGATGTACAGTGGGGTAAGAACAGTAGAGATTGAGTGCTGCATATTTCAGATTCCCTGTCCATCCTTACCACGTTTCCTTGTTTTTAAAGTGATGAACTCTATACATCAGGAGCCACAGGCTAGAGATTTCCAGCTGTGGTCTAAAAGAGAAGAAGTAGGAGCTATGCAGGAATTACAGATGGCAGTGTGCCCAGTTACACAGCATCTAGTGTCTGTGTCCAGCAAAGAGGAGGTAAGCCATCCTCCACAGGTTTCTCCCCAAGTAACCACAATTCTCAAGGAATAATATTTCAGGGCTGGCTCCCCTCAGAATCTGCAGTACAGGGGCCTCTGAGCCAATACCATGTCCACACTGGCCGTGGATGTACAGTCTATGTGAACCAGTCTTGAGAGAAACACCTCAGCAATACTCACTGATCTGTGCATCTCTTCAGGTTCTGTTCTTGAGAAATGTTTCCCCCATGAGGGCAAGGAAGCGCCTTCCCTTCTTGCCTCCTCCCTGCTGTTTTGTTTGTAGCCTTCATTTATCCCTGTGTACTGTCCATCAGAAAGCACAGTCACACATGTGTTGGTCATGTTTATATGTTTGTGAGGAGACTTCACTGAAGGGAATTTTCTCAGAACTATATTTGTCTCCCGATAGGAACATGACAGCAACTTGGAGGAAATTGGTTGTCAATGTGCATGGAATGCTGGGAGTTTTCTCCATTTTGGAAGTGAGTAGGCCTCTCCTAGCATAGGATACTGAGGCCAGAGTTCCGGTCAGTGTACCTGTATTCCACTGGGTACATGGGTCAGTCCTGGACAGGCTGGATGAACATAGAGTAAATTTTTAGGTACCACATGCTGAAGTCATCACTGAGACCACTGTACCAGCCTGTGATAGATGAGAAGTTTTTGGTTGATGGTGTAAAATTGCCTCTGGCTTATAAGTAGGAAGAACAAATGCTGGCCAGGCATGATTCCTAAGTCCCAGGGGAATGTGGTCAATGAGCTGATGTTACAGAGGATAAAAAGGAGAAAGACAGTACAGTATCACCCTAGATAGGGCTTAAGATGGATGTTGAGAGAACCTGTTGTAGGTAGCACATCTCTCCACTCTGACACTAGCATCATTTAGGAGGTACCGTTTGAATCAAAGCAGCTGAATATCTCCTCATATATGAATATTATGATAGCAATAAGACATAATATATGCGATATTTTTTCTGTCACTCCCAGTGATTTATCCTATGATGTTTTTCACTGCCAGGAGGGTGAATGCTCACACTTACTAGCAAGGAAACAGGACCAGAGACAATGAACTGTTTGCTGTTGGCACTTGCCTGGTGTGTTTGTCAGTAGTTACCAGTAAAGTAGGCTCCAGTCCTGATGCTCTTAACGAACACCAGTACCTGGCAAGGGACACTTCCCTACACTTCCAGTGGCAGTTGACAAGAGAGAGCACAAGTTGACTGTGGTCTCCAAGCCCATGTGATGGTCTCTAACATTGTGAATCTCAGAATGCAGACATGATGCCCAAGAGAGCAGAGGAGCATAATGTGCAATTTTTATATCCCTGACCACAAGAGGGAGCATGTTGTGGCCTTTAGACTCTTACCTGAGAGAAGCCAGCTCATGATAAGACTCAGGGGAAAGAGGGGATAAGGGGGGAGGTTGGGGGAGGGCACGGGAGGAGGTGAGGGAATGGGAGAGGGACCTGGAACTGACTTGTGAAGCAACCTCGTTTCTTATCTAAATTTAAACTGGAAAATAAAATATAAAAAAAGAAGAGGGGACAGAAAAATATAAGAGCCAGTGGATGAGAAGGCATGTGGCAAAATAAAGATATCATTACCTGTGAAGGATTGAGCCCACCAATGTTAATTTCATCATGGAAACATCCCCATAGTGAGAAATTATTGATAGCTAATGGTTGCTGAGAGAGTAGATATCAGTTTCCTCAGTGGTATAGCCACTAATAAATTACCCATAATCCATTAAATCTCCCATTCATGCACTTGCAAACAACCCAGAACTCAATGAATCACATACGAAGGCAGGAAAGTGGGCAGAGACTTGTAGGGAAGAACAAAGATTTCAACCAGAGAGAGAAGGAGATAGTATTGGAGGCTATATGTACTCAAATTCATTACATGAATGCATGAAACTGTCAAAGAGTAGAGATTTTAGACTTTTTTTTTTGGTTTTACGATACAGGGTTTCTCTGTATTGTTTTGGAGGCTGTCGGTCCAGCCTGGCCTCGAACTCACAGAGATCTGCCTGCCTCTGCCTCCCGAGTGCTGGGATTAAAGGCATGCGCCACCACCACCTGGCAAGAGTAGAGATTTTAAAAGGAACTCTTGTCATCTCTTAGTGCAGGCCTAGCACTCATTACTGGCCACATAACTAAAGACTTCTTTAACCCATTGGTTCCAGGGCCATAGGGGTCATAGTCTATTTGTAGGGGCAACCTGTTTTTCCTAGCCAGGCTGAGCCATTTAAAACTACAAGCACTTGTCATCAGTGGAGTCCTGCGCAAACAACACAGCATTGATGGTGGGTCAGGGTTACTCTTGTGTAAGAAGAAAACAGTTTTTATTCCCCTCTCCCCGTTAAATATAATACTTCCAGTTAGTCTCCAGAGTATGGTGTCTAAAGCAATAGTCTGAGGTATAGAAAATATTACAATATACTAATAATTTTGAAAATCTATTCTCTCTGAATTTATGTTTTATGTGTTTATAATTTACAAAATACATATAGGAAAGTTGGCTGGGGGGGTAGGATAGGGGGAAGAGGGAATCATAGGTTAGAAGACAGATTCGGCACCATTGTGACCTCTAGTGATCTAAAGGGATGACACCAATTGGCAAGCTAAGTAATAGTGTAGAGACCACCCTGAATGCCCATTCCTGATAATGAACTTGATGTCTATAACCATCCGGGAGTCTTCATCCAGTGACTGATGGAAAAAGAGGCAAACACCCACAGTTAAACACTGAACTGAACCCAAGGAACCCAGTGACAGAGAGAGAGGTGCGATGAGCAAGTTGGCAAAGAATGGGCTGGCAAAACCAGCAGAGACAGCTGATCTGAACAAGGGAGAGCTCTTGGACCCCAGACCGACAGCTGGGAGGCCAGCATGGAACTGATACAGACCCCCTGAATGTGAGAGTCAGTGAGGAGGCCTGGGCAACCTATAGGGTCCTGAGCAGTGGATCAGTGTTTATCCCTCGAATACTAACAGACATCGTGTGTCCATAACACAAAGAGGGATGCTCTCTCAGCCTGGACTCTTAGGGGAGTGCCTGGACCCTACCCTGAGTGAAATGACAGACTCTAGATATCCTCTATGTGGAAGGAATTGGCAATAGGGTGGGAGAATGGGGGATGGTGGGGGTGTGTGGGAGGAGGAGAGGGAGAGGGAATTGGGATTGACATGTAAAAGAAGCTATTTAAAATTAAAAGAAAAAAGAAAAGAAAAAAGAAAAAAAAGACTCACACACTTAACACCCTCCTTTCTCCCTGTCTGCCTGATGGATGGTACAGTAAGAGGGGATTCAATATAAGCTATTCATATACACATCATTACACACACTACTCCAACTTTGTCAATACTGTAATTGTGGTTCATAATTGGTCTAATTAATAAATACCTGGAGTCCCATATGGAGGAAAATGATGAGATAACAGAGAGAAGGAGCAAGCTAGCTTACCTTCTCAGCAACTGAAGGGACAAGAGAGTGAGTTCCCATTTCCCTGTGTTATATTCTGCCCAGCTATCACACTTCATGTCTGTGTGTACAGAACTCTGTGGTTAGTTTGTGGCAAGTTCCATTATAAAATCCTCACCCAGGAGGCACTTGA